CGCCTCCGCCCACGGGGTGGGGGGGGTTGTTGTTCCCCAAATCCACGAACAACAACCCCCCCCACCCCTCCCTATCGAAGCGGTCTCGAACGTATGAGGCCTTGCCGGTTGGCAAATTGGAATTCTCGTGTTTCCAGCAACCCGTACGCCCTCACACCCTAAAGTCCTATAATCCTTAAACCCGAAACCCTCTACCCTAAACCCTAACACCCTAAAGCTCTAAAATCCTTAAACCCGAAACCCTCAACCCTAAACCCTCTTAAACCGAAGCCCTCAGCCCGAAACCCTCACACCCCAAACCCCTAAAATCCTTAAAGCCGAAACCCTCCAGTCGTTGAGCCCGGAACCCTAACACAACCCTACACCCTGAAGCTAGGGTTTAGGGTTTAGGGTTTAGGGTTTAGGGTTTGTAGGCCCAAAGACCCCGTGTAGGAGCTTTCAGGGACCCCAGGTAAGAACCACCAAAGTCCCTACACCCTAAGCCCCAAGACTTAGATCCACGGTTTAGGGATCAGGGTTTAGGGTTTAGGGTTTACGGTTTAAGGTTTAGGTTTCAGGGTTTAGGGTTTACGGTTTTAGGGTTTAGGGTTTTAGGGTTCAGGGTTTAGGGTTTAGGGAACCCGAACCCCCAAATCCTTGAATTCTAAACCACAAAAGAAGAGGCAGACTCATCTTCACCGTAAAGCCCTAACGTCCTTAAGCCCAAAACCCTGAACCCTTAAGGATTTAGGCTTTAAGGCCCAAGACCCTGAACCCTAAACCCTAGAGCACCAACACCGTGGAGGAATCTTGAGCCCTGCAGATTCGAAAGCGAGGTGATCTGCAGACTCACCTTCACCCTTAATATAGAAGCCTAAACAAGTACCAATAAATAATCCTTAGGGCTCCTTATTATCACTATACTATAAAGGAGCCCAAAACCCTATTCTAATTATTAAGGCCCCTACATTAACCCATAAACCTTAAGGGCCAAATCACCCTTAAAAGTAGTGGCCGTATATCCTTGCTGTATGGTGTTTGAACCTTAAACCCCTTCAGGGTTCATGTCGTCCTGAAGGAGCTCCTTAAGCCCAAAACCCTAAACCCTTGGCAGGTCCTCTAAAGCTTGTCACCCCAAACTCTAACCGGAGAGATGTAATCTCCAGACTCATCTTCACCCTAACCCCCCACACCCTAGACCCTCATAGACCTTTGAATGAAAAGGAATCTAAACCCGAAGAAAAGGGTAGACGCTTTCAATAAGCCGTAAACCCTAAACACTAAACCCTAAACCCTAGACCCGAAACCCTAAACCCGAAACCCGAAACCCTAAACCCTAAACCCTAAAGCTTCGAAGAGAGAGGTCATCTCCCGACTCGTCTTCAATGAGCTAACAAACGCGGTGCCTTTGGCAGACGAGCCGCCCAAAACCCTAGGCCGCCGCCGGAATGGGTTTAGGGTTTAGACGGATTTTTTTATTATGGTTTCATAACGGTTTATAGGGGTATTTGTTTTTTTTTTTATGAGGGTGTTGAAACCCTTACAGGAGTCTTTTAGAGGCTTGTATAAGGCTTGCATACAAGGGTTGTAGAAGAGTCCCTGAACCCCAAACCTCTAAACCCTGAACCCGCTTCAGAAGAGTTTGATTAGGGGTTTCGTAGGGGTTTGAGAGGGAGTGGACCCTCCCAGGGGGTTTTAGGATGCTACCGAACTGTATCGGGATTCCTCCTCTAGGGGGCTCTATGAGTGTTCCTTTTAATTAGGGTTTAGCGGTTCACGGATCTACCAAGCAAGGTGGCGCTGGATCACCAAAGGACCTTGGATTTCGGGTTGGTGAACTAAACCGCTAGACCCCAAACCTGTAGACCCTAAACCCTGGCCCTAAACCCTAAACCCTAAACCCTAGAGCCTAAACCCTAAACCCTCAACGTGAATGTGGCAGGCTCTCTTCTTTACCAGGGTGTGGAGCAGTTTGCTGGCAGCCGGATGAGCCTTCCTTGCATCTGGTTCAAGCCACAGAACCTTTAACCTTCTTGGGGTGCTATACAAGCCCTATTGTAATCCCAAAGTTAAAGGCTAACCTTTAGTTCACCCAGAATACTGGACAAGTAGGTTCTTGGAGTACCATACTGTATTGCTTTTCGGACCTGTGCCGTAAAGGAACCCATCGTGCAATAACAGTCTATACTGTTTTCTCCTTGGTTGCCTCAAAAGCACAGTTTGTTGGACACCGGGAAGAAGGCTACATCCCAAAAGTCTGGTTCAAAGAGGAGGTGGGGAGTTCTTTCTAGATCGCAGAATCTTGATCCATTTTGCACCCTCAGCTCTGAACCTAGCCCCTAAACCCTAAACCTGCGGCCCACACAATCCCCCACCTCAAGCCAGAAACCCGAAACGGCCCTAAGCCATATTACACGCCAAACTCTCAGCCCCTCCGGATGAAGGCCACAAAAACCGCAAAACGAGCATAAACCCTAAACCCTAAAACCTAAACCCTAAAATGAGAACTCCTGAGGCGCCACTCCATCTATCCGTACAATGGCTCCTGCACAGAGCACACGGACTACGGGGTGGTGACCTTCCAGTGGCTGAGCGCAGGTTATGTTTACGACTTTCCCTGACGTACTCCTCCCTAGATACAAAACCCCAACCCTAAACCCTAAAGCGGCCAGTCTATACTGTACTCGCAGTTGGAAACGGGCCCATTCAAAAACAAAAAAGCCCTAAACTCTTAACCCCAAATTCCGAAACCCTAAACCCTAAACCCTAAAAGAGGGCCATGGGTCCGGGTTAAGGACTTGAGGGTGGACGGTGGTAGGTGCAGGGTTTCGGCTGGTCGCTGTCTTAGTTTAAGGTTCTGGAGTTTACTTGGGGTTTAGGGTTTAGGGTTTAGGGTTTGGGGGATGTGGGGTGGTCACCATCCTTCTATGATATAAGATTTCAAAGACCCATCTTTCTAATGATTCTAAGGCCCTAAAACCTAAACCCTAGACCCCTGTATCACGATAGCATCAACACGAAAAGCAACAAAGAGTTGATGGACAAAATCCTGCATGACCCTGTATACTAAACTATGGGAATCCTGGTACTGATACTACCTAAACCCTAGACCCTAAACCCTAAACCCTAAACCCTAAACCCTAAACCCTAAACCCTAAACCCTAAACCCTACATGCAGGATTTTGTCCATCAGCCGTAGGTCGAACCTCGACCCTAAAGGGAACTCCAAGATCCCTTGAAGCCCTAACTGTAGCAAACCTACCTTTCTTAGGGTTTAGGGTTTAGGGCTTGTCTTCCTTATGGTTTCACTATACTTATGAGTGGCAGGTCTTGCGACCTCTGAAACAAGGTAAATACATTAATTCTGCGAGTTAGCTGAGAGAGGCAGTGAGAGAGGTAGGTGTGAGTCTGGTGAGAGAGATTTCGGGGCTGTGAGTTTCGTGTGAGCGGCAAAACTCACACACCCTCATAGGGATTTGGTGGATTTGGGCCTGGGAGCGGGGGTGTGAGAATTGTGTGAGCGGGGGGTGTGAGAATTGTGTGAGAGCGGGCCTGTGAGCGGGGCTGACAGCGGGCGCTCACAGAATTCTCACAAGGCCGCTCACAGACCTCTGCCCACTCACATGTGCCGCTCACAGAATTCTCACAGGTACCGCTCACAGCATTCTCACAGACCTGTCCCCCGCTCACAGGTACCGCTCACAGAATCGCTCACAGAAAACTGAACCAGGAATCACAGAAGAATACATTCGAGCGATCCCAGAGCTTGCAAGGCACTGCAACTCTTAACACTATACAATGCCTTCTTGGAGGGTTTGGGGTTTAGGGTTTAGGGTGCGAAGCCCAGAAAAAGCCAGCCTTGTTAGGGTTTTTCTCCCTTATGGTTTCACTCTGTAATGCCTTGCAGGGTAGGTGTTTCAGGTAACAAGTATGGCTGTAAGCCTGAATAAGCACCAACATCATTCAGGTTTTCTTACTAAAGCCATTGTAAAATATACCTCCAGACCCCTATCCCAATCATTAAGACCATGATTCTCCTATCCTAATCATTAAAACCGTCGTACAATATACCTCCAGACCCCTATCCTAATCAGTAAGATCATCGTACAATATACCTCCAGACCCCTGTCCCAATCGTGAAAACCATCGTACAATATACCTCCAGACTCCTATCCTAGTAAAAAAGATACCATTGTACAACATATATATATATATATATATACCTCCAGACCCCTATCCTAATCATTTAAACTATCGTACAGCATACCTGCGGACCCCTATCCTAATCATCAAAACCATCGTGCAATATACCTCTAGACCCCTATCCTAATTATTAAACCATCGTACAACATACCCCCAGACTCCTATCATAAATCTTTAACAGCACTATATGGCAAGGAGCTTCCGGCACAATCTGGGGTTCGACAATGGCATCTTGTTAGCCTTGCGCCCTAAGTTGAACACAAATAACGTGAAGCCCTAGACCAATAGAACTCTACAGCACGAAGGCCCTGTGACACACAAACCTTCGAATGCCAGGGTTAAGGGTTTAGAGTTTAGGGTTTGAGGCTTAGGGCTTAGGGCTTAGTTTAAGGTACCCCGAAACCACTAAACATTGAAGCTCTACGAAGGCAAAGCACGGCAGCTGGCCTTCAGGCAATGGGCGCTTTTCGGTGACCATCAGGGTTTAGGGTTCAGGAGTTTAGGGTTTAGGGTTTAGGGGTTTAGGGGTTTAGGGGTTTAGGGTTGTTAGGGTTTAGGAATATTAGGTACCGGCTTGTGACAATACGTAATCTCCCTTGATGAGTGTAGAACCCCAGGACACAAGCTTTGTAACTGTGGAAATGGACACCTAGTCATAAACCCTAAAAGCTAGACCCCAAGCCCTGAACCACCTGAACCCAGCAATCCCTGTAAACAACCCTGGAAATCTGCTTAAATCCGAAGGCATTGATCCCAAACTCCCTCTCGCCCTTCCACCGCAATTCTACCCCCTCCGCCCCCACCCCACACAAGCCCCCGAAATGCCCAAAACACCCAGTTCTCTTTCGCCGGGAGATCCTAGAAGCGCCGTAGACGTTCATAGCCACGACTGGCCTTGACAACTTTGGTTCTATCATAGAAAGTTTGACTTTTTTTTTGTGCTATTTTTTGTGGCTATTTTTTGTGGCTATCTTGGAAAGCTTGAACTGTTTTGGGCCCGGTTAGTGGAGAAGAGAGTGTCTTACTGAGACCTGGGGCCGCAAGCCCTCCACCTGAAACCCTTAAGCCCGAAAATCCTCACCCCTTAAATCCCAAACCCTAAACCCTTAAACCCAGAAATCCTAAACCCTTAAATCTCAAACCCTTCAATCCCAAACCCTTAAACCCTAAACCCTAACCCCTAAACCCTTAAGTCCTAAAATCCTAAACGTCGGTAGGCGCAGCTGCCAAACGGACAGTGGCTTCCCCTGCAGCCGCCAGACACAGGTTCCTTGGTTTGGGGGCTTAAGGCTTTAGGAGTTTGAGGGTTTAAGGGTTTAAGGGTTTAGGAGTTTAAGGGTGTAAGGGATAAAGGGTTGAGGGTGTAGGGGAGCTCAAAAATGTTCACTTCATCCTGGACTAAGGGTGCTTTAAGGTTCGCTGATGAAGACGACGAGAGCTGGTGATGGAGACGATGGAATGTTGATGAGGACGAGGATGAAGACGAGTGACACGAGATTGCGTCCAACTTCAGGGAGATGGATGCTCATTCCTACTACTGCTGCTGGTACGAAAAGTACCACCAGTCGACCTAGTACTAGAGGCCCGCAGGTACTACTGCTTACTGCGACTGCGACTGCGACTGCGACTGCGACTGCGACTGCGACTGCGACTGCGACTGCGACTGCGACTGCAACTGC